AAACCCCGGTCTCTATAGGAGAACCTATGGGTTTCCCAGAGGACACATCTGGGGGGGGGGGGGGGGGGGGGCAACCCCAGCATCTTCATGGGCTGGAAGCTTTAGGACACGACTGACTGAGAACCATGAACTTAGGATCCCTATGGGAATTGGCATCCCAGGGCCTGGCTGGGAATGCCAGCTCCTTTGCCAGGAAGTTTACATTCACATCACTAACTACAGCCTGGCTGGATCTCAGGATGTGGCTCTGATGGGTGGTGGTGGTGGTGAGTGGGTGGACAGTGAACTGGTTGGTGTTTTAGAGGCTGGCCCAGGGCCCCAGACTCCAGGGACTCAACTGGGCATCCCCTTGCCACCTGCCCAGGTAGGAAAGGTGGGGACAGGGGTGAGGGGTCGGGTGGACTTAGGACGAACACACAGATGCGAGAGCCCACACACCTCCCTCTAAGGCGCTGTTACCTCCAGAGCAGCGGAAGGCTTCTTTTTGAGTTCCTCGCATTTTCTGAATTTGCAAATCTGATGGCCAGTCTTTCGGTTCCTACAACTGCTGCACTGCTCGCAGTTGATGCGCCGTCGGCAGGGCGCGCACATGCCGCAGCGTTTCCGCTTCTTCTTGCCCGAGCTGATGGCGGAGGCCAGCTCTCCCTGCATGGGGTACTCGGCCAAGCCGGCCATGTGCAGTGCGCTCTCGGCCAGGAACACACCTGCGGGGGTCATGATGAAGAGGCCCGGGTTGATGGGGAAGGCGCCCAGGTAGGGGAAGTCGGACTGGCCGTTGAGAGCTTCGGCCCCTGCCACAGCCTCCATGTCAGGCAGGCCAGCGCCGGCCTCGCTCATCAGCGGAAGGTGCTCCTGCACCACGCGCTTCAGCATCTCCGTGGACTGCGCAAACTGCTGCAGTGTCAGCTGTCCCTCGGCGGCCAGCTCCGTGGCCCGCTCCGCCTTGCTCAGCAGGCTGGCCACAGCACCGCTTTTGTGCTTTGAGGTAGGGTTGCTTTTGTCCACCGCCATGGCCGCCGCCAGGTCGTGCCCATTGGCCAACAGGGAGGCGGCGGCCGCAGCAGCTGCAGCGGCCTTGTCGGCGGACTCTCCACCCATCATGCTGCCTCCCCCACTGCCCCCACTGAAGGAGGAGTAGTGGGAGAGCGGGCGCGACCGGCGCAGGCTCTTGTTCAGGGGTTCACTGATGATGCCACTCTTGTTCCGACGCTCCGGGGGCGGCGCGTCGTCTGCCACTGAGGCTGGTGCAGCAGCAGCCGCCACGGTCAAACTCTTGTCAGCCACTCCCGCCTTGGAGCTGCCGCCACCCCCGCCGCCGCTGCCGCCATGGGTGGTGGTGGTACTGCTGCCGCCGGCGTCCTGGGGGCCACTGCCGAGGCTTGACATGGTGGGGCCGAGGCCCAGACCCCGCCACTGGGGGAACCTGCCAACTGCTGGGGGCCCACAGACAAGTGCCTGGCCCTACTGCCTTCAACAGAGATGCCTGGTGGGCCTGACTGCTCAGGGCAGGCACATGGTCAGCTGTCCTCGTGTCTTCACTCTGTTGGGACAAGAAGACAGAGGGGTCAGTACCGTGTCCAGCCTCGCTTCGACCACCGCCACCGTCATCCTCCATGGTACTGCCACCAGTGGCCACCAGCCTGACGGGGCCTCCACTAAGGGACAGGCCCGCCCTGCTGGCCATCTTATCGTGCACGCCCTCATTTAAGACTCACAGAACCTTGTGGCTCAGTGGCTAAGTGCTCAGCTGCTAAGCAGACAGAGAAAAGACGGGTGGTCCACCTGCTCCGGAGAGGACAAGAGCCTTTGGTGCTCCAGGGCCAGGTCTACCTGTCAGAGGACTGCTGTGCGCCGGCCTCGGCGTGACGACCAACAGCAGCAGCACCCTATTCTGCAGAAGGGCAGGGAGGTTGAGGAGAAGCGTGGTCAAGTCTGCACACACAGCGCTACCGAAGAGCACGCCGGAGGTCAAGTCCAGGCACCACCCTCCACCCCCACATGGTGCAGTGGGTAAGGACTTGGCTGCTAACCGAAAGCTTAGCAGCTTGGACACACAAGCCGCTCGGCAGGAAAGCCAGGTGGCAGCCAGCTTCTATGAAGATTACAGCCTTGGAAACCCAATGGGGCGCTCTACACTATGCTGCAGGGTTGCTGGAGTGTGGATCCACTTGATGGCGACAAGAGTTTTTGAGCTTGCTGGAAGACCCGGTGGTCAGGGAGAGTCGGAGATGTTTGCTAACTCCCCTGGGGCCTGAGGCAGAAGGGAGCTGGAATATCCTTCTGACGCGCATGAAGGTATAGATCAAAAACAGCTCGGCAGCTGCCTCTGGATCCTCATTTGGAAGCTCCTAATACATACAGGGGAGGAGCCTCAGTGGTGTAGTGGCCCCGCACTGAGCTGAGATCTGTAAGGTCCCCAGTTCAAAACCACTCGGGGCTTTCTACTCCCATAAACAGTTACTGTCTCGGAAACTCACAAGGGCAGCTCTTTCTTGTCCTATAGGGTCACTATGAGTCAGCGTGGACTCAACAGGAGCGAGTTTGGTTTTTGGTTTAATATGTACAGTAGTAGTCCTGGTGGTGCAGTGAGTTACCTATTAAGCTGCTAACCACAAGGTCAGTGGTTCAAACCTACCAGTGGCTCCGCAGGAGAGAGACAAGGCTGTCTACTCCTATAAAAATTTTAGTGTTGGAAATCCAAAGGGGAAATCCTACTGCCCCATAGGGTCACTATGCGTCCAAACTGACTCGATGACGGTGAGTTTGGTTTTTTTTGGGGGGGTGGTGGTGGAATATATACAGGTCTCCCCGCTTTTTGAAAACGCACTTCATATCGCCCCAAGTTTATGAAAGGCTGACATCGACACCAAGCCAAGGAAAGGTGGAGAGGATTTCCCACACTTGGGGGGTGGGGGCAAAAGGAAACAAGTGTCCCGTGTGTTTTGCAGTGAGTGGCATCGCCAAGCTCCTTCCAGATCTTCACAGCCCCCCTCCCCCCACACACACGCACCGCCATGACTTTGGGACTGCGTTGGCCAGCACCATATAGGTCAGTGTTATTTTAGGTTTTACATTGGTATGATTTGGTAGGTTGCTTTCGGGATCTGGGAACACTCAAATGTTCCCCCGATATAAATTAGTGGCTGTTTCTGGGATTTACACCATTTGTGCTCACGAAAGGCTTCGCAGCAATATTCTCCTGCTTCGAGTCTGTGGGGTGGGGTGGGGAGGGAGGACACCCACATTTGTTAGCTTAAGGCTCTGACAAGTCCTGCAGGTAAAAAGAATGGTTGACTTCATCCATCAGTTAGCTGAGTAGAGCACAGAAGACCTGTTCCAAGGAGCACCCCTATCCTCCACTACGGGGTGCTGGGGGGCGCATGGGAGAGAGGCTGCGCCTTCCCCTGTGGGAGTGGGAGGACTCCCACTGCCTAAGCTCCTGCGCCCCACCCATCAATGCCATAGCAGACTCCATTGCCACTCCTGTTTACGTAGGCCTTGCGGCGGGGGCTCTGGCCCGCCTTCTAGAAGGGGGAGACAGCAAAAAAGGTCTCTAGGTACAGGACTCTGAGGACCCAGAGTGGGCGGGGCTGTGGACAGGAGGGACAACCCAGAGCTCAGAGGGAGGGTGTGAACTTGGGCCAGGAGGGAGCTTGCCCTTGGCCACGCCCATGCCCCTGAGGTATTCCCGCCCAGGACAGGGCCTGCTCCGAGCAGGTTAAGGCCCTTGAACAACCAGCCTCCTTGGCCAGGAGCTCTGGAAGGAACTGGTCCAGATGGAGTGGAGCGGCAGTTTGCTCATCAGCCCTGGCGCGCTAGCATCGTCCCTTCCTGGTCTGGTCTGCTTGCTGTAGCCCAGCATCCCCCGGGAGAGGGGCGGGAAGACAGAGCCCAGCCCCTGAGCAGCTGGGGCCCAACGGGGAGGCACACATCTGGTGGGGCCTGGCCCCACCCTGGGCTTGAAGACTGCACACACTGCAGCTTTGTCCCCAGGCAACCCCACCACGTCCCAGTCACAGGACACAGCCTGCCCCAAGAAATCATCTAGCGGGGCCCACAGTTTACAGAGGGGGCAACTGAGGCACTGAGCAGGCAGGACCCGCTGCCTCAAAAGAAGGACTGCGGGAAGGGGAAAAGCGCCCGTCTGTCTGCAGGGTGAGGAGAACGGCAGGCACCAGCCAGGTGCCAGCCAAGTGCACAGCCTGCCCCAGCGGCGGGCTCCCACCTAAAAGCTCGCCAACAGTACTGGGTACAGGTGGTAAGGAAACATCGAGAGAGCTGACTCCACCAGGGAAGACCCCCTGCAGTGCCTTGCAGGGGTGCAGGCTGGAATGGGGGTGGTACAGAGATCAGAGTTGCACCAGAAGAAAGGTGGTCACGTGTGTCCAGGACAGGCCTGTCTGTTCTACCTCCCATGGGCCAGGCCCAGGCTGGCTCTCAGGCCCCTTCCCTTAGGCAGTGGTTTTCAACCTTCCTGTGCCTTGACCCTTGAATACAGTTCCTCATGTTGTGGTGACCCCCCCCCCACCCACCCCACCATAAAACTATTTTCATTACTTCTCTTCCTGTTATTTTGCTACTGCTATGAATCGGGCGATTCCTGTGAAAGGGTCGTTTGACAACGCCCCCCCCCCAAGGGGTCTTGACCCACAGGTTGAGAACCATTGCCTTAGAGGCTGGTGATCCTTGCAGGCATGAGTGACCCTGGTTAGGGGATGGGACCAGGACCAAGGACACCCACCACCCCACCCATATCAACTCTTCAGTTCCTGCCCAGCGGAGCTCAACTGGGGCTCACCTGCCTTCCTTCCCTGGACCATAAGCCCTGCCACCTGGGACTCGGGATGAGGGAAGACAGGCGAAGGCAGGTGGCTGCAGGTTGGAGAGGTGGGAGGGGAGCAGTCTGTGCCCCAGCCCCGGTGTGCGTCCCCCTGCCTCTGCAGCCCGCTGGCTGGTGGCAGAAATCGATAACTGCATTAACGCTGCTCTCGCCCTTCTCCCTCCCTCCCTCCCTCCTCCCAGCTCCAGGATCTGGCTCTGTGTGCAGGGCGGGCAGGTCAATTAGAAGTCAGCTCCCTCCAACACAGCCGGGGCTGCGCTCAGGGATGGCGCGCTGGCTGCCTCTGCTTTTGTCTCCTTGCTGGGGACTGAGCCTCTTGTTCTGTTCCTCTCTGGCCCTCTCTTCCCACCTCCTGGACCCCTCCCTTCTGCCCTTCCTCAGGGACCACCTTCCCTTAGCTCCGCAGGTCCTGGGGCAAGCTGATCTCAGGGACTAGGGGACGTGATATGCCACCGAACAGGTTGCTGCGGGTGGAAGATGGCTCGTCAGCCCCAGAAACGGAAGGTGGGGAAGTGCGCAAGTGCAAAGGGGACTGGCACTCAGGGGCACCGTCCTTAAACCGTGGCGTGGCAACACACTAACATCCAAAACCAAGGCCCGGTTCCCAAGCACGTTCCAAATCTGTCCCTGGTTCAGCTTCTTGTTCAGATCCCAGCCAAAGCTGATGCCCTGGCCCCAGTGGACCCCTGACCCCTGGGCCTGTTGGCCCTGTGAACAGCAGGGAGGGCCTGGAGAGGATGTCCGTCCACCGAGGCCTCAGCCTCCTACTTCGAGACACACTGCAAGCCCCTCCCAGGCCAGGCAGGGCCTGGCAGTGCCCAGGCAGCAGGGGAGGAGTCGGGGCTGCGTTGAAGCGGAGCGGGAATGAGCGGGAGGGAAAGCTGGCGGGCAGGCGGGCGGGCGGCGGCGGGCGCATCCATCATCGGCCCTGCCAGGAACGCATCCAGCCCCCAAAAAGAAATACTGCGCTTGAGGAGGGACAACAAAGGGCTCCGTTTCATCAGCAATGCGGAGCCAGCGCCCCGCCGCCCCGCCAGCCGCGGTCAGTCCACAAAGGACCCCTTTGTCCATGCAGGAGCCGGGGCCGCTCGGGAGCTTGGGACCAAGGACTGACGGGCGGGGACAAGAGCCCAGGGGGTAGAGGGGGGCAGAGGGGGCACCCAGCCATGAAGAGCTAGGGGGCAGAGGGGGACGTGGAGGCACAAGAACAGTGACAGGTGGTGGAGATAGAGAGAGAGAGCCATGAGAGAGAACTTGAGGGGTCGGTCACAAGGAAGTGGACCTGGGAAGACCGGGCAAAGGGTCAAGGCTAGAGGGCAGTGCCATGAGGGGTCGAGGCTAGGAGAACTCGGCCCAGAGAGACCCGAGGACGCAGGGCACCTAGTCCAGCTTCAAACCCGCAGGCCTGACAGACGTGGACAGCAATGGACAGGCCCAGAGGGCAAAGGCACAAGTGTGGGGGTGGGGGGAGTGGAATGGAGACCCACCTCATCTAGGGCCTCCACCCGTGGCTGCCCAAGCACCCAAGGGAGGCGAGGAGAAGGCAACTAGACTAGGGGCAAGGTGTCTTGGCCTCAGGGCTTGTGCGGGGGAGAAAGATCAAAGGTAGGTGCTCTCTGAACAGAGTGGGCCATTCCTGCCTCTATCCTTAGGCCACGGCCATTCCCAGAAGGAATTACAGTCCAGCCCCTCTAACTAGC